AAAAATAGATTGTTCTCAGAAGGTACTGACAGTTTTATCTTGATCACTAGATAGATACATTCGTACCACAATCCGCTTTTCTTCGCTTTGCCAATAATGTTTCTTGCCAATAATATTCGACTAGAAAGTAATCGGTCGATATTGGCTTCTAGGGTTTTATGTTCCGGTTTGACATCCAACATGGGCTAGTACCGACTAGTGTTCTGTTGCGCTTTGCTTTACTGAATACGCCACGCTAGATTCTTCACTTCCTGCCACCGGAGAATTGTGATCGCTGGACCCCCCCAGCGCTAACCCGAAAGCGGCATCGTGATACTTCAGTTAGTGCCGGGAGCGACTTAAGCTTAAAGGATCTTATACCCTAAGGACAATTAAATACAGATTAAATTATAATTTTACAAATCCGTTTTTGTTACTTTTAGGTTAAATTTAATTTTGTATATTTTTTTTTCTTCTTTTCATAACAATTTTTTTAAACTCAAATAATTAATGTATTTTATAATCTTAGACACCTCTAATAACGTATTAAGCCTAGCAATACACGTAACAGTAGGTGGCGTTATTCACGTTATGAGATATCTATCGCTTCCAGTAACTTAGGTTAGTCGCGAAGAAATTATAAACCTGTAAATAGACAAAAGAAAAACTACAAGCAAGCACGCCATGATTTGTAATGAAGTTTATTTTGTTTTTGTTACAAATGAAATTTCTTGAAACACAATCATATTACATCAATGTACCAAGAGAACTTATTCGGGTTGAAGTCCCTCGTCGAGTGGCCATAACCAATGCGGTATCCGTCGTATTTGGTTGATTGACCGAATTTAAGAAGCTCATCGTACTCCCGGTTGATGATGTAGAACAGGAGCTCGCCATTGTGCTTCACCGGCTGTATGGTCCAGAAGTGCCTGTTCGTGGCGTGGTCGTCAGATATATAAGCGGTATGGTCGTCGTCTTCGTCTCTAGTGTTTCCTAATTTTAAGAACATAGCCATTCTAAGAGGACGCATCTCGAAATAAAGCCTGTCTCCCAGCCAATAAGGGACGAACCACCATGTAATATCCATTCTGTTTTGAGTGTTACGATCGCCTAAAATTCTTCGGTCACCATCGGAGTCCACCCGTCTACTATACGTAAGAGCGTACCCGTCCCTCTTGTTAATCACTTTTGCGAATACCAAACTTTCGTGGATTCTGATTGCCGCAGGGAAGCAACTGCGTGCGACGTACCGGGCCCCGGCGATTGAGAGTTTGTAGGAGTAATCAAATACTATAGATTGACCCTCGTCGAACAACCGTTCAATGACCTGTTCGATGATATTGCACCCGCCTGCGCCATACAAGGAAATTGTGTTCTCGACAGCTTCATCAAATTTCCTTGCCACGATAAAATTGTAGAGTTTATTTTCGCGTTGCTTACTGATGACGCTCATGGAAGGTGACTGATTGCTGGTGGTGTTGTCGAGGGTCACGGTTGCTTCAGCGCTTACAGAGTCTACGGTGCTGACGACGCTGGCCGAATCCACTGTCTCAACGGCTGCAATGTTGTCGGTGGCTTCCTTGACAATGCTATTGGCACTGACAGCCAGCACACACATCAGTAGCACAACTCCTTTGAGCTCCATATCTGTAACGTAAATAAAATTTTCATTTAAAATACTCCGGGATCTTACAAGTATATTTAACAACAAAAAAAGACATTTAGAACCATCCCAATAAATTATTAAACAAAATATATTTATGTATGTATATATATATTCTAGACGCGAAGCAGCCACGAGTCCCAGTTTAATTTTGGGCCAGCCGTCGTGCTGTCTATGGGCTCTACAGTAAAAATAATTCTGTTTAAAGTTTTATTATTTCGTCAGAAGAGAGAACGTGTAAATGGCCTGAATAACCTGAAGGTATCTGTATTGTATGTAACATATTGAAAATACTGAAATCAACAACTGACCTGCTTATGTTACGATTCAATCGGGAATGATAAACAAACTCCGATCGATCAGGTTTTAGGGGCCGCGTAAATAACTAATAATTAATTATTATCGAAAGCAAAGTTTCATGAATTATAATACTATTAGCTGCCCGCGGAAGCGTCTGAATTTTATAATCTTTCTTATACCTTTAAACGCGCAATTCTTGTATATATACCTATATAATCTTAATCTCGGAAAAGGCTCCAACGATTTTCATAAAATTTTGTATACAGGGGATTTCGGGGGCGATAAATCGATCTAGCTACGATTTATTTTCAGAAAATGTAGTTTTATTCATGTTTTCAATAATCAACTCTTCCCGACATCTATTGGCGAATAATAATACTATTTTTCATAATTGAGGGCAACTAACCGCTTTAAAGACACAACAAGATGGCGTTATCAAAAAAAATCATCTATTATTGATTTGAAGACCAACTTTAGTTAGTTAGAAGTTTTAGCTTTTAGTTAAAATTCGTTGTCAACTGCCCGAAATGGTTCGGTTTTGCCTTTTTTTTTTCACAGCAACGCGACAACGGCTTGGAGTGGCTAATTCAGAGCGAAGTTGAAGGAGCAGATGATTTTATGGAAAATCACTTGGATAAGTTAGTTCCAGTGTACACTTTTGAGGCCTTGCACGACTCTCCATGGACTGAATTAGATTAAATCTTTTCTAAATTTTGTTTATTGTTTATTATTTAATTTTATGATTGTGATTTTAAATTAGGTTAAGATAAATAAGCAATAAAAGCAATAAAAATACCNCAGAGCGAAGTTGAAGGAGCAGATGATTTTATGGAAAATCACTTGGATAAGTTAGTTCCAGTGTACACTTTTGAGGCCTTGCACGACTCTCCATGGACTGAATTAGATTAAATCTTTTCTAAATTTTGTTTATTGTTTATTATTTAATTTTATGATTGTGATTTTAAATTAGGTTAAGATAAATAAGCAATAAAAGCAATAAAAATACCGAAGTAATAAAAAAAAAACCTAAATTTTGCTAGTCTTCAATAAAAGTATTGTTTTTGATTGTTTTTTTTTGTCTATAATCCAACAAGTTTACAGCCAAATCATAAATATTGAAGAACGTCACGTGAGATTAGGGGAGGGATAGGGAGTTGAGGAAAATCTTACGAAATCTCACCAAGAGGGGAAGAGGAAAATTCTCAAAAATGCCTCACGCAATTAATGGACGCCCCAAGACCTATCAGCGCAGGTTCATTTTTTTTTTTTTTCGGGTAGAGTGCCGAACCTCCTACGAGGTCCCCACGCAAAAGGGGCGCGCGGGGTATGTGAGACTCAACGATCTGCATGGTATTGTGAGTAGACCGCGGGCCCAAGGATTTTAGGGCCCACCCACTAAACGACTCCCCTGCACTCTTACACCCGACGTCCGATCCCCTCCGAGGTCAGAACCCGGATGAGGTAGGGGGGTTACCGCGGTCAACACTACAACCAGCCGACGGAGCCTTCGAGGCGAATCGAAGGCTCTGAAACGTTGACCGTCTCGGTACGGCAGCCCGTCAGGCCGCCCAGACGGTGCCGCTGGTGTCCCGGAATACCCCGCTGAACCAGAACCAGCCTGCCGGGTCGGGACGCGATACACCGTCGACCGGTCGCTCTATTTACTCCACGGCAGCGCGCTAGAGTGCTGGTAGCGCGCCGCGCGGCCTCACCCCCTCAGGTCGCCCCTTGACCTTCACCGGGGGGAGGCCGCTACCTACAGGGACCGGGACGTACGGGCGTATTCCCGACTCCAGCCCCCGGCTCGACGGCGACGGATCGGTGCGGAAAGAGAAGAGCTCCCCCTCTCTCGCTCCGCCACCTCCTTCTGTGAGATGGTGGACTCGCAGAAGTCGAGCATCGCCTTCCAGGACACGTCGCTGCCGAGCATCGTAGCCACGACGCGCGGTAGCGAGAGGTCCTCTCCTATGACCGCGACGAGGGCCGCGCGTTGCTCGTTGAATCCAGAGCAACGCGCCAATGTATGTTCCGCTGTGTCTTCCTCGTCGCGGTCCGTGCAGTGGTGGCACTGCGCCGTCGGTTCCCTTCCGGCTATCTTGAAGAGGTACCGGCCAAAACACCCATGGCCGGTCAACATCTGCGTCAGCCGGAAGGTGAGGCATCCGCGGTCGCGGCCCACCCAGTCCGCGAGAACCGGGCGGACCGCCTCGACGGTACGGAGGCCGGCTGACGGGTCCGCCAAGCGGCGAGACCACGCCTCCAGCATGGACCGCCGAGATTGGGGCCTCCGCGCTCGAACTACTCCTTCGCCAGGGCGCCCTTCCCCCCTAGAGCGAAGGTCGCTACGCCACCGGTAATCGGCAGCGAGCGTCTCCGCCTCCAGGTCCCAGGGTGGCACCCCAGCGAGCAAGCACGCCGCCTCGATGGAGACGGTGCGGTATCCTCGGATCGCCCTGACCGCGATCGCGCACTGCGGACGTCGCAGCGCCGCGACGTTCTTGTGAGTCAGGGCGTGGCACCATACGGGCGCGCCGTATAGTGCCATCGACTGCACCACCCCCATGTAGAGGCGACGCGCCACCTGATCGGGACGTCAGCGCAGGTTCATAGTACAACCTTTTTTTAGGGCCGGGGGCCGATCCTCCTTCGAGGTCCCCGCGTATAGAGGGGGCACGCGGAGTATGTGGGACTGGTCCGCGACGTTAAAACCGCGGGCCCAATGATGTTTTCAGGACCCTACCCACTAAACTTCATAGTACGCCCTACCGTTGGGTTGGTTTTTTTTCGTGCTTCTGACTTTACACATGACAGACTTCCATACAATCGTTCAACTCTTACTTTACCGCCGTTAAGAAGTGTATTTGTGTACCTTTCTTGTGAAAATGGATAACTTACAGCAAACAAGACATAAAATCAGTCAATCAAAGGGACAAAATAGACAAGTACGCAATTATATGTACATGGATGAATTATTAGTCTATCCATTAAAAACAACAATTGATTCAAAACTTAGTTTATTTGTATATCCATGGCCGTCATGCAATATTTTATAATACACTTATACCAGTTTAATGTACCAAGCGAATTTATCTGGGTTAAAGTCCTTCTCGGAGTGCCCATAAGCTGTACGATCACCATCAACGTCCGTTGATTGGCCGAGTTTCAGGAGTTCTTCGTACTCCTTGTTGATGATGTAGAACAGGAGCTTGCCATTATGTCTCACTGGTTTGACGTACCACAAGTGCCTGTCTGTGTCGTGGTTAGTAGATCCATAAGCTCCGTGGTCACCGTCTCTGTCTCTCGTATTCCCAAGTTTCAAGAAGTACGCAATATCTATTGGACGAATCTTGAAGTATACTCTGTCGCCTATCCAGAATGGGACAAACTTCCATGTAACTCTAAACCTGGTGCTGGTATCGGAATCGCCGTAGGCTGTTTTGTCACCGGCGAAGTCTGCGCCGAGACCGAACTTAAGAGCAAAGTCGTACTTATAACTGATTATTTTAACGAAGAACAGATCTTCGTGCAGGCGGACTTCAGAAGGGAAGAGTGCTCGGACAATGAATGTACCCCTGGAAGCTGTGAGTTTGTATGCGTAATCAATTAGTTGGGACTGGCCGTTATCGATGAGCCGGTTAACGACATTCGTAATCATGGAGTCCCATCCTGCTCCATACATTATCGCGGTTCGATGTACCGCCTGGTAGAAATCTCTTGAGACGATTTCGTTGTAGAGCGCATCTTCGATGTTCTTAGCCTCATTGTCGCTCAGTGCCAAAGTTGAGTTGATATTCTCGATACTCACAGTTGCTTCAGTGCTTGATGAGTCGGTGCTACTGATGGTAGCTGCTACTGTACTGCTACCGGTATCATCGACAATGCTGTTGGCATTGACAGCCAACGCACACATTAAAATCACAGCAATTTTTTTTAACCCCATAGCTGTAACAAAACCAGTATTCGACATTCTATTGATTGATTTGGTAAGTTATATATTTGAAATAGTTATCCTTTATGAGACTTATGATATCGATTATTCTGATACATATAAAAGTGTATTATAAAAATTGCTATTTAAGCGGGTTTTCTCGATGTATTGGTGAAAAGTCGTGGTAGAAACCGGTCGAATAATGTGTATGTGTGTTTATAATGTAGATTTAAAACAATTCATCTAAACAAGTCTATTTGAGAGTGGCATTACGTCAAACAGGCAGATATAACACAAGTCTGTGAATTTAGGAATTTAAAATTTCGAGGAATCCCCAAGCGGTCGTGACCTCTTCACATCATTACTGTAGGTAGGTTTCCTTGAGCGGACAATAAAGTTCTCGAATTTTCTCAATAGTCTTGATGAGAACCCGTTGAATAATAGTGTTTATACCGATATTAATAGTGTTTATAACGATTTAAAACAATTTGTATTTAAAAGTCCTCTTGGAACTGATGTAATGAAAAACGGGCACAACCAAAGTAGTGAATTAAGGAACTTGAAGCCACATGTACTTTGATACGTTAAGTAATTGATATATTTTGAAGTCGTCGTGGCCTAAAGGATAACACGCCCTGTGCATTCATGTCAAACGATAAAACTGTGCTGGTGTTCCAATCTCGTAGGCAGGTACCAATTTTTGTAATTAAATACGTACTTAACGATTGCCTTACACGTTGAAGGAATCGTGTAATAATAAAAATCAAACCCAATTATTATAAACCCAAAAATTATAATTTGCGTAACTTGGTATTAGGACATCTTGTGGTTTCGCACAGACAAGTGCCACCACACTGCCTATTGGAGCTTCTCCATCAGTATGGTTGGGTTCAAACGGCATTGTCCTGTACGTTTATTTGCAGTATACGTTTTAACGAATAAATAGTGGCACATACATTATATACGTTTTGTGCCGGGTAGCCATCATACAACGCAAGATAATTGACAGATGCCTGAATCTCGCTTACGACATTTTCAAGAAAAAGCGCATATGTACAAGTTCCGAACAACAACATTCGGACCGTCGGTCTACCGAGCAATATCACCCGCTCGGTGGAAGATCTCACAGGTGGGCTGAAGCCTTGGAGAGTAAGTGCGAGGCTCTTGCTGTGAGCCTTGATATCGCAAAGGCATTCGACAGGGTCTGGCATAGGGCACTTCTGTCGAAGTTACCAGCTTACGGAATCCCCGAGGGGCTCAGCAAGTGGATCGCTAGCTTTTTGTATGGGCGGAGCATCACGGTCGTTCTAGACGGTGACTGTTCTGATACCATGACCATTAACGCTGGCGTTCCACAAGGTTCGGTGCTCTCCCCCACACTTTTCATCTTGTATATCAATGACATGCTGTCTATTGATGGCATGCATTGCTATGCAGATGACGGCATGGGGGACGCGCTATATATCAGCCATCAGAGTCTCTTTCGGAGCGTGGTGGAAAAGAGACGAGCAAAACTTGTATCTGAAGTGGAGAGCTCTCTGGGGCGAACCTCCGAGTCGGTGAATTGAATTAATTTTTTTTATTTTTTTTATTGCTTAGATGGGTGGACGAGCTCACAGCCCACCTGGTGTGAAGTGGTTACTGGAGCCCATAGACATCCACAACGTAAATGCGCCACCCACCTTGAGAAATAAGTTCTAAGGTCTCACGTATAGTTACAACGGCTGCCCCACCCTTCAAACCGAAACGCATTACTGCTTCACGGCAGAAATAGGCAGGGTGGTGGTACCCACCCGCGCGGACTCACAAGAGGTCCTACCACCAGTATTTACGCAAATTATAATTTTGCGGGTTTCATTTTTATTACACGATGTTATTCCTTCACCGTGGAAATCAATCGTGAACATTTGTTGAGTACGTATTTCATTAGAAAAATTGGTACCCGCCTGAGATTCGAACATCGGTGCATCGCTCAATACGAATGCACCGGACGTCTTATCCGTTAGGCCACGACGACTTCAAATTCAAATTAGGTTCAATTCAACCCGTTGAAAACACAGGTTTGCGCGTTCACTGCGAAGAAAGACCCTTTTGTCATGGTGCCGCAACTCCAAGAGTATTGGGATACTTGGGGTCGACATTTCGAGCGATGTCCAATTTTGGAGTAATTTGGAGGGCAAAGCCAATTTAGCGTCAAAACTGCTGGGAGTCCTCAACAGAGCGAAGCGGTACCTCACGCCTTGACAAAGACTTTTGCTTTATAAAGCACAGGTCCGGCCTCGCGTGGAGTACTGCTCTCACCTCTGGGCCGGGGCTCCCAACTACCTGCTACTTCCATTTGACTTCATACAGACAAGAGCCGTTTGGATTGTCGATAATCCAAACGGTTCCCTCTGTGTTCTGTACCGTATGTTCCATGGGAAGTGCTCTGAGGAATTGTTCGAGATGATACCAAGGTCTCGTTTTTACCATCGCACCGCCCGCCACTGGAGTAGAGTTCATTCATACTACTTGAACCCACTAGGTTCATCCACAGTGAGTTTCCAGAGATCTTTTTTGCCACGTACCATCCGGCTTTGGACTGAGCTCCCCTCCGCGGTGTTTCCCGAGCGCTATGACATGTCTTTCTTCAAACGGGGCTTGTGGAGAGTATTAAACGGTAGGCAGCGGCTTGGCTCTGCCCCTGGCATTGCTAACGTCCATGAGCGACGGGAACCACTCACCATCAGGTGGGCCGTATGCTTGTCTGCCTATACGGCAATACAAAAATAAACAGAACCATTCACATTGTGTAGTGCAAAAAATCGTACAACTCTTATGAGAATATATTAGAAAAGCTTTTTAAAAAAATAAAAAATAGTTAAGGAAAACTAAAAAAATACGCTTTTATAGAAAATCCAACTAAAAAATAAAAAATAAATTTTAATAAATTTTAATTAAAAATAGTGTAAGACAAAATAATTTTACCTATACTAATATTATAAAGAGGAAAGATTTGTTTGTTTGTTTGAATTGAATAGGCTCCGAAACTACTAAACCGATTTAATAAATTCTTTCACTGTTTGGAAGCTATACTATTTCTGAGTGACATAGGCTATAATCTTTTTTTAAATGGATCCTTACTAAAGCTCCAATAACGTAACCCAAGGTGAAAAAAAATTACCTATAATAATATTCTTTACATCGCGTGCCCTGCGAAAACTATTGATGATAGAATAAAATGATGTACTACGACTTTGTAGAACACATTATTATTTACAAAAAGTGTCGGGCAGCATAATTCTAACCATTATAGCTATACCGCAATAAGTGTTATATTATTTAAAAAAATAAAACAACGTCAAACATCGTTGAAATTTTTGTTAAATACCCAAGCGGAGCCGGAGCGGGCCACTAGTTGTAAATAAAGCGTGGGGTACTTTTCAGGATATTATCAGAATAACCCTTCTACTCATATCTGTTCATAAAATATTTATAACTACTGATACCATACTCCCAACACCTTGCAGATCGTCAAGTCCCACATACCCCGCGCGCCCTCTAGACACGGGGACCTCGTAGGAGGTTCGGCCCGAAGCCCGAACAAAATAATAATTGAAAAACGAATTGAACTACTTGATCTATTGGCAACCTAACTAAGCTGCATTACGTTGTGCACCCTACGTTGCATTATTGGTACATTAAGAATATATTATTATAACAGTACGAATACTACGAATACTCAACTGAATTGTCAAGCAAATCGTATGAAATTTTACGTTGCAGTGGCGCATGGTATAGCTCTGTCTCGTTCACACGTTCGTTTTTACACGAATTAAAATCTACCATTAGAACACCCGGGTGATTCTATGTTAAAATAATGAATACAAAGAAAACGTGTAGGAAAATGCCGTGTGAACCCAACCTAAATCTATTCAGTCGGCATCAGTGCGCCACTTTGAGAAAGCGGCACGATACGAAAACCCTCTTGTCGTGGCCACCGGAAACTACATACCCGATCCTACAGACCGAATGACAAACAGTCGACGTTGTCTTAAACACGTCATTTCGGATCCTCCCGAACCGAATTTACGATCCATTAACGACGCTTTTAGGTATCTCAAGCACCGGTCACCGTTCTCGTCGAGCCCGTCGCTTGCGACGAAGTTTCGGCGAGTAAACTAACTTGTAGACACAGCCCACTGAGTTATAGACACAGCCCACTAACTTATAGACACAGGCGAAGGTAGAAAAAATAAAAATGTGAGCCGTTACGCGACGCCTGGCAGATGTGAAACATCGACATTATTTTGTAAAAGTAATATGCAGAAAAGAACAGATTGTGATAGGAACTAAATATGTCATAATGATAAAATAAAATATTACGAAAAAATAATTTGTTTTCAAGTAAAACACAGGTTAGGGGCCATCCATAAAGTACGTCACACGTTAATGGGGAGGGAGGGTATCACCGAAGTGTGACATCGTGTGACAAGGGGCATGGGGGGGTCAATACTTTTGTGACGTCACATGTTAAAATTTAAAATACTAAAACGCAAAGTTTGTATGTGAATTAAAAATTTTAAAAATTTACAAACTTGATCTATATTTATTAAT